CTCTCTCTCTCTCTCTCTCTCTCTCTCTCTCTGTGTATATCTATATATCTCTGCCAGACAGTCCACCTCCCGATGGTTCACTTTCAATGCCAGCAACAAAACAAGGACATTCCAGAGACAAAACAAGAAGATTTGAGGGCATACCATTGGGCCGGCCATCATTCTTGGACCCATAGGACCACCAGGTCCCATATGACCAATTCCAGGTCCACCCATCGGACCTCTCCACATGTGTGGCCTCCCTCCATCCATCGAACCCATCCCCCGGCCACCTTGCATTCCGCCTCTGCAGCAAGAGACATACACACACCCATAGAAAAAAATGTGAGTTGAAGTCCAAGTACGCACTTGACTCACGCGGCAATATGTAGTACATATTTTAAAGAGCCCCAGCACACTTGCATGTGGTGAAGAGCCAGCCCCACCCATGTTACTCTAATCAATGTTTCAATCACAGTTCTCACAGAGCATTGCCTGACATTCCCATGCAAAGTCCTCAGGGACTACTCGGAAATTACACATGCAGCACTCAAACATATTTGGTTCAAAAAAGCTCTCTCCATACAAACAACTTTCATGAACAGCTACATTTTCCCATGTTCATACAGTAGTCCAACTTCCACTTCACTCCCATGTCGATGACCACACATCCAACAGCACAGAAACTACGGGAAAACAAGCTTGGCATGATGGTGTGTGGGAACAGGGATTTAGGGGTCAGTCAAGGGGATGGATTCTTCATGGAGTAAGCACAAGGTCAGAAACCAACAGAGAAGGTGACCTTTCTGAGCACTTTGTGCTGGTTCGCCAAGCGGCCTGCATGCGGCAAATTGACAACAAGCAATACATAAACCAACTTAAAGAAGAAGAGGCCGCCAACTCAGGAGGAAAGGAACTCACGCTAAATGCCACGCGATGAGGTAAGACCACAAGAGGGAAACAAACGGACGTGATGATTGGTGGCAAATGAGCTAGGGACAGCAGCAGCCGCAGCTTTAATCATACCAAACACTGAGATAAGAAAATATAAAGTTCAGGACCATGTGAAAGCTTACCTTGACATAAATGGGCCTCCCCTTGGACGGAATCCTGGCCCACCAAACCTGCCATTCAAGAAGAGCATCACGAATGAAGTTACTCCAGGCTGCCTCAATCACCTGGCCACAGAGTGGAATCTCATAAACGTTTGGTCATGTTCACAAAAGACGACAACACAGTATGCATTGCAACAATCCCTTAAGAAGCGATCAGCTCCCACCCTGTTTACACCAAATCCATGACAAGAATCCCAACAGATCCAGGAACCTAGTTCACCACAGCCATGAATCCAATCTTCACACCCACTGACTCACAAGCTGGGCAACAGATACAGGAAGACAGTTCACCATAGCCATGTGAAACTGCAGGCTGTGTGTGCAGCACGAGTACATTGTCCAGTGTCCAGTGCCGTATCACATGCGAAAGATGCAAGGCCCCGGAAAGGCTTAAATTGTTTAGTGTCCAGTGCAGCGTCACATTCCAAAGATGCAAGGCCCCCTAGAGGCTTAAACCCCTCTTGTTGTAACTTGGGGTCTTGGACCAGTTCCATTGGGCTTTTTTCTTGATTGCCACAAAACCCAATCCCTTGCTGGTCATTCTGAAAATACTGTTTGGGCGCTGCTCACCCAAGGAGATCCAGACCACCTTATGCTAGTGGCCTTGGCCTCTATGGCCTGTGACAGCAAAGCAACGATTGCCCAATTACAATCATTGTCAGAAGATAGATGCCTGCAAGAGATCTATTGAAGCTTCTAAGAACACCCACAGCTCAATCACCACCGAGCACATCACCTCAGATGCATTAGATCAACTGTTCCACGATCATCATACTATTACAACACTACTGTTCGCCTTTGCAATCCTGTTGCATCAGCTGTATGTTCAGGGATTGGGCTCAAAATTGAGAACATCCAGGAAAATACTCCACGTAGTTGAAGCCAGTGTCACAAACATCAGTTTGTCAGAAACTGCTCCGAATAGTGACAGTGATAGCACACCATTCTCAGTTGTGGATAATTTTCGCATACACATGGGTGAGGCCAACCAGCTGAAGGGTATTACCCTTGCATCTCCATCGTGCCCTTAGGCTTCTTTGGATCCGCAAACCGCACCGCCAAAGGTTGATCACTCCCCTGGAAACAGCAATAACAAGCCAATCAGAACATATATTCCGCAGCAAAATTATCAGATTGAGCCACATGGTCAATCAGCATTAGGCAAAGCCAAAGGATGTACATGCAAGCCAGGCACACAAACTCCAGTTTGTCAGACAACTGAATCAGACAAATCCCCTAGAGGCTACAGCATTCTTTTCCCGCACATTGACATGCAAAACATCACCTCCAAAACAAAACCGCACAGGATGTCATAATCAGGAGGCGCCGCACATTATGCAAAACACCCACCAAACTGACGACTGGAACCACAAACAGACAATATCATACACCTTCTGGCTTATTGACTTTGCTCTTATCCTCAAGGAGTATCTAAACCTAAGTGAACAGCCTACAGGCTCCACATACCTTACATCCAAAGAGGTACCACACTCCTATTCTACCACCACCTCGTCAAGGAGCATCATAGGCTGAGTAAACATCCTGCATGGTATAAGCTGACAACTGGAGCCACAAACAGACAATATCATACACCTTTTGGCTTATTGACTTCGCTCTTAATGCAACCACCCCCTCCTCAAGTATGTCTTAGACGGTCCACAGACCTTACATCCAAAGAGGCTACCTCTACCACACTCCTATTCAACCACCACCTCGTCAAGGAGCATCTTAGACTGAGTGCACATCCTACATCGTACAAGCATTACAGCCAAAGCGGTCATTTCTACGATACTGTCCAGTCTTGCCGTTGTTCTGATCACTCTTGACCTGTATGAAACTCATCCTTTGCTCTGATCACTCCTGTCCTGTATGAAACTCATCCTTTCCGTAACTAGTACAGAAAAACGAACTTGCCAATCCCACCCACCTACCTGCATTATCTCTAGGTCGGGAATCTGATGTACACTATGTCATGAACGAGAATGGTTAAGAAGCTTGAAGACAATTAATCACACAAACCTACCTCCATTGTGTATAGTCCATTCAACGCATTTATAGCATTCATCGCACTCTCCCGATTTGAATATTTCACAAAGCAGCATCCTGCAAAAAGCATCAACTGAATCATTAGAGAGCTTTTCACATTACCTAGGTAGCTTTTTACGTTACTTCGCGCCCTCAGTACTCCCGTCCTTTTTAATACCTAGGTAGCTTTTTACGTTACTTCGCGTCCTCAGTACTCCCTTCCTTGTACACCGACAATTCTTTTCCCTTACTTTTGATACCAAAGATACAATCACCATGCTTTACGTTCACCGCAAGTTATTGATCGCCTTCAATGCCTTCACTGAAAACGGGAAACTTCAGGGTACTCCCATGGTGGTAACATGACACAACTATACAGTATAATATAGGAACACACTGATTTGTTTTTAGTACCAGTGGTCTACATGCCATCAACATTGATCTCTTTGCTTCAACTTCTCATTCCATTCCCAAACGACTGGATGCTGATTAACAAACACGGAAACAATCCATGAAATGTGGCTGGGATCCGCACACGACCGGTTTCCAAAGGGTTGCTCAGGTCTCACAAAGGCAAAAGCTGCCGAGACGAGGCCTGGAATGCAACCTGCAGTGTAGGAACAATCAGCAAGTACCACAATTTAAATTCAGCAAATATACATAATTTCAATTCCAGCCTTGGTAATTTTCATAACTGACCTCAGCGATATTTCGGCAATTTCCTCAACCGGCACATGGCAGTAAATATTTCCCTAAAAAGAATTTGGCCGTCACACATAGGCCTAAGGATGGTACCATTCCTTTCCAGTAGTCCTGCACCCAGCCTGGAAAGTGGACAGATATGGTGGTATCTTCAACTTCGATCTGAGTGTATTCTCAACACAGGCCACGCACAGAGGTTGGCGCACCGGACGTCCTGAAATTGAAACAGGGTCTCAGTCCTTTCCTGCAGCTCTTAACCCTTGCAGGAAAATGGACAGACAACAACCCAGAGAAACTACTATCAAGGCAACCTTGACACAAACCAGGCCCAGAGGTTCGCAGGTTGGCTGCCCACCCAATATATAAGCCCAGGGATGCACTCACCTCCCTAAAAACAGACTGAAGGAAGTCGTACTTGGACTCCTTGACTTCCATGAAAGACTCGTGTACTGGTTTACACGGACAGACCTCCCACCAACCTCATGATTGCAACCAAACCATCGAGTGTCGTGCTCATGAAGGAGGGAAATATTAAGGGGAAAAATGATTGAGAAGGTGAAAGACCATGCGCAGATGATGCGGCAGCCCACACATACAACTGCCTTCCTTCTTGATCCACGAAGGAGCCAGCCGCACTGGCTCAACGATCAAGACAACCGCATTGGCTCAATGATCAAGACAGCACCCTTGTGTAGAACACACAGTTTTACTTCTTAAGGCAAACCAGAGGGAGGTGGAGGGGATGGACAATGGAGATTTCTGGGGAGATCTCCGTGCGTTCACCAAACAACCTGTAAGGATTGCGTAAGTGAGGAAGGCTGAGTGGATGTACTGCGTTGCTGACTCCTTGCATCATTTGCCTACAGTGGACATTGTCCAGAGTTGTAAGCCTTTGCAATCAGCCTAATGGGAATGTGGAGCACAGCAGTACAGGCAGAGCGAAACTGGGCATCAATGGACTTCATCCATTCACCCACTCGAAGAGGAGAAACAGCCTCTCACTTGAGTCCCTGGAGAAGAGGCTTGGGGGTCCTTCGCGGAGCCAACCGACTGGGATTCGATCTGTGATGGAGGGCCCTGTACAGTAGACTGAAAACAATGGCAAGTAGCAACAGAGGAGGACACAAGTAGGGCGAAGGGCACGGCAGATGGTGACTCGTATTGCTGAGAGGTGGATCCGTGAGGAGGAGGCTCCTCGTGTTGTAGTCCCGACCCAGAGGGACAGAGAGGGACACAACAGAGAAGTTGGGCAGCAGGAGGATCAGCAGGAGATCCTCTACGGCAGATGGTGACTCATATTGCTGAGAGGTGGATCAGTGAGGAGGAGGCTCGTCGTGTTGCAGTCCCGACCCAGAGGGAGAGAGATGGACACGACAGAGAAGTTGGGCAGCAGGAGAACGTCTAAGGACTAACATTCTCGAGGGATGTGAGAAACAGAATGTGAGGCACGAAGACGAGCCTGTACATCAAGAAGATGGAGAAATCTGCAGCAAGAAGCAGACAAAATGTGCAGGAGGGGTGAGTGGGTTGCAGAGCAACAACCAACACCAGCAATGGCATGGGGGCACAAGCCCCACCCAAATGTGGTCCAGCAGCTGGCCGTGAAAGCAGCAAAACAAGCAGGCTTCCGTGCAAGAGCAGCAGGAGCAGTAGACAACAGTAGCTACTACTGTTACACCGAGCGAGGATGTCTAATATGACAACCTCTGGAAAAACATGAGGAGAAAGAGGACAGACCCATTACATGACGTCCCCCCTGCACGGCCACAGCATCATCACGAGAGGCCCTCTGTAAGCCAAAGGCCAGGAAGAATGCCGGACAACAGCAGAAACGTCGTCCTGGCAGGCCTCACAAGTTGGTAGTTTCAGAGGATGACCCAATCCGTCTGGTGCGGTTGGGTTGGGAGCAAGAGAGGGGAGAGTGAAAGGGGTTTCTACTCCTTCCGTGTCAAACTTCTGCACATCTTTTACTTTCATAATAGAAATTTGGAAGTTGAAAACCCCAGTAGCAATGGTCGGTCTCCTCAACTCCTTATCCTTCACCTTCTTCGCCTTTTGTTCTTTGCATTCTTCTTTGTCTTAGTATTGTCTTTCATTTGCTGTCGCTGCTGCTGTTTACCATGTTTAATGCTGCTCCTGTTGTGTTTGCTATTTGAGAAAACCCTCCCAAACCCTTATTCTCAACCCCCATATCCGCAGTTTCGTGGGCATTCGTCCTGCTGGACAGCGACAGGGTACACTGAACTTCAACAAAGATTCAGGAAAACCAAATCTTCAGGACTGGTACAGACGAGCTGAACCGTCAAAACCAAATCTGGAGATACGGCCTGATTGTCTGTTCAAAACTGGTACAGACTAACTGAACAGCCGAAGATTCTTTTTCAAAAGTTGGCCCGTCTTACCCAAGCGGACCGTAGCCTGCTTGCCTGCCTACCTTAACCCAAATAGAACACATTGTCATTGGAGCTGCATTTGGACCAACTTTCAGTCTAAATGCAGCGATAATGACCATGCTTATTATATTCAAGTCGAAAGAGAAACACAAGATGCTATCCAGCAAGGCAGAAAGGCAGCTTACACATCTCAAATAGAACTGGTGTTTTTTCACACACCGATCACTGAGCAACGCTCTTCTTATTTATTTATTTCCCTTCAAAAGTAAAGCAGCTTTATGCTTTTCCTTACTTCACCAGTACAGCTGGACGAACGGGCCTTTCCAAAAAGATCGGAGACTCAGGACGGAGAATGGGAAATTTGTTTTTTGACGAATGGGCCTTTCCAAAAAGATTGGAAGCTTAGGACGGAGGATGGGCATTTTTTTTTTGGTTCAGCGCCCCACCACAAGGCATGGTACAGTTGTTCTTTTCCACCAGCCCTTCAGAGGCCCTGTCCCGAGACTGCAAAATTTTAGGAGAGGCTAAATTGCGATTCTCAACTTGGCTGGGCCCATGTACTGGTGCTTCAAACGACCAGTACACCCGGGCCTGCAGGTGCCTTACTGCACGCGAACCTTTTCCGAACCGCCAGCCGCGCATTTTGTTTCCTTTTTGGCTGCCACCGGTTGGCAGAGCCTCCAAAATTTTTGTTGGTGACGCGTTTCTTTTTCCGCAAGGCTGGGGCCGTGTACTGGCGCTTTAAAACATACTTATATTTATTGAATGCTGATCACTGAAGAAAACATCTTTATAAATGCTGGGTACTCTCCACTTCTCCACAGTGCCAGTCAAACTTCTCAAAGATACTAACAGTGAAAACATGTTCCAGGGTGTCACCAAAACAGATTTACCTTTGCTCTGCTTGTTTTCATCCCGCATGATATAAACATCCTCGACATGTCCATATTGACAGAAGAGCTGCAAGACAGCAAAAGGAATGCAGAGTACCACCCATCAACAATCTTTCAACTCACAGGACACAGGCACACCACCGTGGAACAACTGGACATCACAATTCCGTACTGCATGTCTTCATCGGATAAACCTGTCCTGAACAAGACTTCCTCACCGACAAACGGCAATCCAGTCATACACGAGCATCTGACCTGATGCCTCACCAAGCCTCCACACTTCAATGACAGCCATAAGAAAACTAAGAAAACCGTCCCAGAGCATTCTCAGCCGCCCGCTTATTCTTCTTTCAATTTCTCTTCTGCCGACAAGAGGTGAAAACAGGAGATAGCACAAAGAACATAACCCAGAACAACGTCCAGAACCATTCAAGGAGCCTAGTGTTACATTGCACATTACCAAAGCCCTCACTCTGCTATATATCAGAGAACGCCTACAGAATTAAGACTCCACTACACCCACTGCTTTTACCTCTTTAACTTCAGCTTCTCCTGAATGTCTGCTCACCGAGCCAACAAAAAGTTTGTGCTCAATTGCTCCTGAGAAGAGGAAAACACGGAGACCGAACGCATATATTGTCAGCCCTCTTTAGCACCAAAGGGAGAATACCAAACCCCGTAACCTCACCCTTTTGTCCCATGTATAACTCGTTATCATCAGCATTGGACAAATTGAATTTCAAACACCTCACTGCAACCGACATGAAATACCCTTCCACAGTTTAGTAAACAGCTACGCAGTGCCCTTCAGGATTTTAGGAGAATCACTTCCATCAACCAAAGTAATACCAGCATGGAAACCCATGTTTGGAGCTACCAAGCACTGAAATGACACACATTTGCACACCTCTGGTCCATTCACACCTGCACTGAGATATATCAACCTCAGACTATATCTGTCACAAGTATGCACTTTTGCACTGTGTAAGATTCGGTCTTCAACACGTCAAAACGATGTACTACAATCCTCAAACAACAGTTTTGGAGGAAAGGAATCAGATTTAGATGTCTTCCATTCACTCACCAAGCCTTTCGCGCTCTCCATCAGCAAATCGCACTTGCACAGGAACGGTGTTCTGTTTGCCAACCATTCCAGACACCAAAAAAATCAACAAAACAAGGAGAAGGTTAGCCACAACTGACGTAGCAAAATTTTTGTTGTTCTACCCAGTCCATGCAGCGGAATGGTACACACATGTCGGTAATGATAAACAGACCATGACTCTGATTATACAATAAGGTTGGGGACAACCCCGTTTCTTTACGCTGGACCCATGGACATGAACTCCTCCCTCCGCACATCAAGTGCATTACAAGGCCAATCTTGTCCCTGAACAAGTGATGGGGTGGAGCACAGTGGCAGACAGCTGTCTGGTCTGTAGCCAAACACAGCCAAAGGTTTTCGGATTCAGAAGGGTGCAGTAAGGGTTTTCTTCCACGGGGAAACGGGGGAAGTGGGGGGGGGGGGGGGAAGGGAACAGGATGCCAAGTGTAGACTGACCACATTGACAGTTAATCACTAAAGCACCGACATAGCTTCAACCGAGCTAATGGCAGGTCGCAAAGTTGGAAACAAATATAGGAAGCCCAAGACTTGCAAAAACTACACAAAGAGTCGCCACTGGGCAATCAAACTCAAAAGAAAGTTTTCATGAGCACGCAACTGTATGTCCCATTGCTGGCATGCTGGTACACACCTATTCGGTGACGAAAAGGTGCCTCCTCACATGCTGTTTTGGGGGCAACAACTAATGCAGAAAAAGGTAACCCCTTCACCAGCTAATTAACAAACTAACTCAACCTGCAAATGGTATATGGCTGCATCAGAGGTGTACAAGATATCAGAGGGATCAGAGGGGTTCTGAAGTACAGATCAACTTGCGTCATTCCATCCATACGACCATTCATTAAAAAATTGTCATAGCTTGTTGCCAAACCAAAATCTAGTCCTCCTGCATGCACATCAGATCATCAGTTCCTCAGACTCACCCCTGGCAAACATCTCATGTTGTTGACAGCACGAATGGCCCTCTCTGCATCCTCGATGGATGCATACTTCACAAACGCACAACCTGGATGTGAAGAACATGTCAGCACCATTCCCGCAACACACATTGTTTCCAACGCACATGCAAAATCACAGAAGACATAACCTTACAATACTCGTCAGCAACCTCAAAATTTTCCTTCCTTTCAGTTTTTCCCCACCAAAAGACAGAGCTTTTCAATTTATCCCTCTTTGTTCGCTCTTGCACACCAGCAATGAAAAATAATAGAAAGAAATCGAGAAGAGACAGGTAGACCTATGTGCAGGCAAATCCTACATAACAAACAGCATTCCGACACAAGCCCAACCCCCTGCAAACTTTCATGTCCGTCAACATAATTTGACATCTGCCACCACTCCCAACGTTTTTCAGCACTCAAAACTGTACAAGTAAACAACTCGTTTCCTTGGTGAGCTATTCCGGCAGCATCACCATTGTCAGTGCCTCAGTTCAACTGAGCAAACAGCATAAACAACGATACAAGCCGGCATTCTATAAACCATTTCACTGTCGGAGGCTTTGGGGAATCCAAATAATAACCCTGTAACAGCCGAATCAGTGAATCCAGACTGAATCACACCCATGAGCTCCAGAAAGCCCATGCTGAAAATTGAAGCTGCAGTATGAGGTCACTGCTTCACAAAGTAGAGGCAAGCAACAATCCATTATAAACTCGACTTTGACAACAGCCTACTCAGCCCAGAAACACGAAAATCAGCAACAGCATGTTGCTGGGTCACATAGTTTGGTGGGAAACCCAATCAAACCCATCCTCAACCCCCTTCCAGAACGAGGGCAGGGGAGTCGCACGTGCTGCACATGCTGCAATCTATAGACGGATATATACAGGACTCCTCACAATGTAAAATGCAGCAGTGGCAGCACATCTACAGAGCAAAGCTCAATCCACAACAGCTGCCCATATGTGAAACTAGCCAAAGGTCCCAAAACGCTTTAGAAACCCAGAACCATCCACGGTGTCAACAGCCTGCCATAAGTGTCTTTCCCCATTTGATTCACTGCTATAGCTAACATGCCATGATCTACCACCCACAACTTTTGCCCAAGCCCAAAACAAGTGAACCTAAAGTACGAGGCTGATACCCAACTGTGCAACACACAAGCAACCAACGACCGAAAAACAACTCATCACTCATGGCCACACATGGACCAGAACTCTGACCAGCAGGCATGCAACCATGATTCAAGGCGAAGAGTGGGATTCTTCTTGACAAGCAACCAATGGTACAAGGACCAACTACTCTTCCCATCCCCCAAAGCATATCCCTGAGGAGGTAAAGGGGCTGATGAATTGAAAATCCTTGCATGGTAGGATTCCCCATCGCTGGAAAATACAAAAAAGGAAGAAAATTCCATTCAAGGTCAAAAGGTCATCACTAAACACATTCCAGACCATTCTTCACTCGTTAGGCAAATTCGGATGCCCATTGATGATGATACACAACCTCACATGCACAGATGTACAGCTCCAAGGGGAGCTGGAGACCAGAGAAGGGAGAGCTTTCAAGTACAGAACCAAAGCCGGACCGAACAAAGATGACGTTAAGCCCCTTACTGAGGATGACGATGCGACCTTGTGATGTTATACACGTCACAATCTGCAGTCCTGTCACAGACATCTGACATGCAATGGATCTTACGCGATAACCAGCGCGAGAAGCTCTACACCAGTCATTTCAGAGGGCAAGACGGTAGTCTACCACGCCCATACATTTGTTGAGTATCACGAGCCAACATGTGAAATACCAATTCCGATACTGTACCAACAAGAATGGAGAAAAAGGTCTCTCACCATTATTTGCAACGCTTTCAGCCAAAAGCTGAAGTTCCTGGCCTACCGATTTCATCAACGGTGACTGAACAAGACTCCAGGATTTCGTTGCCTTATTGACAGAAAGATTAAACCATCATTTCTTTCCACGACCCAGCCAACCATACACAGAATGCATACACAGTGTATATGGATTCCTGAGATCATTCAACATGTGCTGTGTGGCTCATCAGATGGGAAATGTTACAGCACCCAATGCTGCAACGAGAGAGAGGTGTGCTGATACAGGTCAGCACACAAAGGCCGTGCACGATACAACACACACGGGTGCGAAGATAGCACCCCCCAAGATCCACACCGCCTGCCTCCCCGACTTCCCACTCGGGACAAGGAGATGGATACGAACCCGGCGACAGGAAGCGTGAGCTGCAAGAGCATCAACTCTTCAAACCTGGAGAGACGACCAACAAAGCGTGTTTCCCCCTGGTTTATCACCATGGATAACGTTGCCACCCGCAGCTGTGCAGCACAGCCCTGCCAATTGACCAAATGATGACAGCGCACACAGGCACCATCCGCAAATCACACTCCTCTACAGCAGGAGTGATTCTTCAAATGTAGGGTTTTGCATTCAACCCCCAATATCAAGCATTAGAGTCAGACCACACCATGCATTCCCATCCCTGAAGGCTGACGTCCAAAAGAGACCACCATGAATTTGCTATCCCAAATTCATCTTCGCATTGACTCAGCACACCTATAAGCAAAATAATAGAGCAACTTGAAAAGACAAGTGGCCAGGAAAGTGCGATGGATAGAGACGCTGCCCGGTAATAAGGTGCATCCAAACCAACCACCTAGGCACGCGAGATGTAAGGACCTCAGGACATCTTGAGGAGGCAAGAAAGCTGTGGAGGCATTGTCATTCTTTTCTGGAGGAAACCAAAACACGGGGAGGAAGAGGTCGAGCATCGTTGTTAACATCCACTACTACGAAGCCAGAAATAAAGCCGTTGCGTGCACATCGGAAGCAAGCTATACATTATCCCAAAGAAAAGAAAAAAATAGGCTGGCCATAGTGCAAACAACACCATTGCAAAAGCAAGAACAGGAATAAGCACATTCCTTAAATAGTAAATTGAGAAGGAAAGAGTGCAGACGTTATACCACATAGAAGAGCTATATAACAAGCCAAAAAAAAAAAAGGGAATCTGGTCGGCATTCATGCATCTAACGGCCCAAGAGGATAAGACCAACCTATCCATACGGAAACCACCATATCACCATCCTCATATGAAGTCTGGTGAAACCACAATAACATTCCCATGGGAGAGCCAAACACAATGGGATGCGAGAGTCGCTTGGAAGGAAAGAACGCTCCGAGCCATAATCAGGCATACAGCGTAAGAAAACGAGCATGCAGCATGGAATGCAACCACAGCACATCCTGCACTCATATTGCCGGAAATGGACGTGGACACTCGAGCTATGGCAGAACAGCAACCCAGAAGCAACCCCTTCATCTCTTTCAATAACACAGATAATGGAGATAGCATCCACGTCCACAGCAGAAGCAGTGGAAGACAAACCCACAAGAAAGGGGAGAATATCAAGCCGAGGAAAGGGAGGTGTGCAAATAGATGAAATGGGGCAGTTTGCACTTGGAAAATGTGGGCCACACCAGTAATTCCCCCATACACCCATATGTAAACCATGCCGAGTATAATCCAAACACCTGCCTGTGCCCAGGCAATGTCAAAGGGAAACACACGGCTCGATGCGAGACACACTAAGTGATACTCACTCGCAGTTTTCCGGAGTCCAGCAAGCACTGAGGCCCTCCCACCTGGCACCTGTTATCTCAATTCTGTCAGTCGGAAACCTGGAGAGAAATTGGGATATGATACCTCTCGCGCGTGATCCATCTCATCATCTCAAACTTCACAATCACAAAGCCGTTCTATTGTTAATAGAAGCAGACGTCCCATAGCAAAGATCCTTTGGCAGAGGAGCAAGCCCAACACGAAAAGAGACCTGGCCAACAGTGGCCACAATGAGGGAGAAAATTCATGCTACTACATGTGTGGATGCGCATTGCCATCAACCCCTCGCATTGCCATCAACCCCTCACAGAACTTCCATCGCTGAAATATGCATATGAGCCCACATCATTTCCTAGATGGCGCCCAGCAACTGAAAAACACTACATCTCCACCCATACCTGACGGGGTGATCACATCCACCCTTTGCCCTCTTGTGCAACTCCAGGACCTTCACTCAGAACACATTGAAGACTGGCATACCAATCATCTCCCCAATCATGCTACCATGGATATGAGATACAGAGAGCATACTTACCCCGTCCCATGCACGTGGCCCCGCTCCATTAATCTAATCCATAACATTGGCAAGATGTGGCAACCATACACAATCTTATTGAAGTGCACATCTCACCTATAATCTCCTAGCAGAATTGGCTCAAGCTCAAGACCAATACCCACCAAAAGCCAGTGAATAGAAGCTACGCCAGCTACTCCTTCCATTCTATATGATCTGACTAGCAGCATCTTACACCCAGCCCAGGATTCCCGTCACGCGGCCATCTATCAAGCCCATGCACGAAAGGGACAAACAGGGCGCACACAAGCCAGAGGCAATAGCAAACGGAGTACAAGATAAAAAAAGCACAGCACAGCATCCACTGCTGAAACCATTGAAAGGGACCAAGCGGAGTGAAATGGTCACATTGGAGCGAGGGCCGTGAGACCCATGTGCATGAGGCATAACTAATCATGACAGGCAAAAATACATCCCCATCAAATTCACCACTCGAATGCGCAATGTGGCTTTACTGCACACTGATGACAATGGTACAGGGATACATACAGGGGAACAAAACAAATGACATCGAGAGCCCTTTTCTTTCTGCACAGACACATCCCACAAATCATCAAAAGAAGAGTGTCCAAGTGAGATGCTCCTCCAGGTGACAGCCGCGTTCATCAGCACAGATGAAATAAAGGAGAGCATACTGCAGTGCAACTGTGCGAGAATACCAACATGACCCAGGTAATACCCATTGCTGACACAGCACATTCGAAAACTGCAGGTTTTACATTCTGAATATACAAACGCCAGAAGCAAACCACACATATATACTGTGAAGCATAGAAGCTGAATCATAGCCCTGAAGCACAGATCAGCTAGGAGCTCAGAAAATGTGATGAAACGT